CTGCCACATATTAATGCTATACTATGCGCTTCTGGGAAGAGTCTGTTTCTCTCTATACCATACCTATACCATGCCTTAGACCATGATATGAACCAAATCTTTTCTCTAGGATCAATGATTCTAGTGTTCTCATCCTCCCCCTGCACATCATGTGCTCCTATTTTGTCCTATTATCTTGGTGGTCTTTGCTGGACTCACTCCAGTACGCTAGTCTCATTCAAGTCCTACGCAGAGTTTTATAATCCTTTTAAAGTAATTTTAAGTCACAAATAAATTGAGGGGAAAAATATGTAATAAACCTGTTTGTTTGTTTTGGGTTTTTTTTATGATCCCCCCCCGGGAGTTCTTAAATAATCACAGGGAAATGGATATGCTGCCTTCAAATTCAATACTTTTCTCTTTTTATGAATCAAATATCACAACTTCAGTCATTTTCCATACAATATTTTGCCTTGGTTGGACCATAAATACCCCCTGTGAATAAGATCACTTTGACATTTTAAAATATATTTTTCTTTCTCAAAAAGGGCACAGAGCACATTAAAATGAGCCTTTTTACAGAAAAATGGTAAGATTTTGCAAAACAATGATTCATCTTTCTTGCCAGAAACTCACACCTTTTCTGGGAAAATTTTAAAATTAAATAGTCTTGGTCATGATTTCCCTGTAACACACACCTGGATTTTTCAACCAGCTCCATTCCAAATGTTAATGTTGACCTATAAATTTTTCTTCTGTCTGCAAGAAATTACTTTGTAAAAATGGAAGCTACTATTACTCGTTGGTAAGAGAAACTTCCAGTAAAAGTCTTCACACTAATTTATCATCAAAAGCCATACAAAAATTGGCACTAGGCATATTCAGGCTAGAGAAAAGGCAGAGATGTTTAGCACTAAGTGGGATTAACTTTTGGAACTGTTGCTGCTGGACAGGGTAGACTTTTGATAATTTAAAATATTTAAGTCAAGTCTGGATGTATCTCATAAAAGCATTCTTATCTCTCCAGTAGTGGTTATAGACTTAGTTTTCAGTTCATCGAGCCAAATTCTTTCACAGCTCTCCTGCCTCAGCTCAGGCACTTTCCAGAGTGGTACCTGGATTTCTCTCCTTTTGTGTCTCCAACAGAGAGAAGGCTGCAAAAAAAGACCTTGGAGATAACAAGCATAGTGTGAGGAAGAGAAGGTGAAGGCTGATGTGAAGAGATGTGCTGCAGATGTATTGGATTTTGGCTAAGGGTTCAACTAATGCATACCCCACCACATGGTCACGCAGCTTCTTCTGTGTGAAGCTGGATAGTGGAGGTTTGGTATTGTTAAAAAGTGCATGACTTGCCTGCCTGACATTGTTTAGTCTTTTTGAGATGTGCTTTTGAACTGTGATGGTAAATTGAAGAGTAATTTCCCTGTTATTTAGCATTCACATGTAGCTTGTCTGTTCTTAGTTAAATGCCTAAATCTCAGCAATACAGCTACTGAGCATTCATCCAAGAGTGACTTCTGCTATGAACTTAGAATCACAGAATAGTTTGGGTTGGAAGGGGCCTTCAAAGGTCATTTATTGCAAACCCCCTGCCATGCACAGGGACATCTTCCACTAGATCAGATTGCCCAGAACCACATCCAGCCTGGTCTTAAATGTCTCCCTGATGGTGCATTTACCATCTCTCTGGGCAACCTGTTCCAGTATTTTACCACCCTCATTGTAAATTAGAACTCACCAGACTTTCCGATTAAGATAAAATTTCACTGAAAAATTGTTATGAATCTGTGTCCTGAGTAAGTGACTATCAGTTGAGAAGTAACAAACACATACACAAATCCTTAAGGACTACCATCATCTTTACTCTAGCTCCGTTGATTTCCTTAGAGTTTCCCCAAAGATAAATCTGATTCCAAGGTATTGTTGATGAGCTGGTGAGTTGATAAGTGGGGTGGCTCAGGAAAGTTTTCCAGGTCTCTGTAGGCCTTTATGCAACAGGAAAACGTTAACTCTTTGGCCTTGACTGTGTTCTTACTTACACTGGTGTGGTTTCAGAGGAGTGTCACTGAGTCAGATTTATACCTGAGCTACGTGGGCACAAGCAAGAGAAGGATTGGGCAAACTGTTCCTAAAGCCCCAGTGGATTTGAGAGCCTTCTCCAGCAGCTTAGGTAGCTTTTCTTTCTATCCTTAGCAACACAGTCCTGATTAACCCTCCAAGCTGTGGTCAGTCATTTTGAGGACAGTTTGACTGACAGCATGTAACTTGCCAATGTTTTTCCCTGCTCTGTCCAGTGCATTAGATCCTAGAGGTGCTTGGTTGGCTGTGTTGGGTTTATTTAGTTATTTTGTTCATTTATTTTTAATTTCTTGGATATTCTATAAGAAAAAGTCATCTTGAGCAAAAGACATGAAGTATTTCAATGTAAGTATGAAAATATGCATTGAGACTTCTCTTGTAAATATCTGTATCTATAAAAAGATGTATTTGGGCAAGACAACCATTTTTGTTGCCTTGCCAGATATGCAATAGAAACCCTTTACCATTCTGAAACTTCAAATGGACAATACAAAATTTCTCCCTGAGGGAACTGTTTTCATTTCGTGCAAGGTTTTTGTGGAAGACTTGCTCTTCACGTTATATACTGCTTCTTAAAAGAGGACAGACCATCTAGGTCTGGGTGGGTAACCAGCTCTATCACTCAAAACTAAAGGGACAATGTTCCTTTACACTGCTGATCCCTTAACAATCTTGTAAAATTATTTCCAAGGAAAATTAGTATTGGGAACATATGTTACATTTTGTCCCTTATTTTATTTATTTTTTTTTTTTTTACTTCTTACAATATGATTTAACAGCTTGGGGAAAAAAAAAAATCAACAGAATAAATCCTTGGGAAGCAGTCAGATTTCTGGGAATTCAGCCAGTATATTGTGGACCATCATTTGTGGACCATCATTTGTCCAGGGACTACAATTTGGATAATAGATTTATTTGGAAATTATGCTTCTAGTGTCTGAAAGTTCTAATGTGGGACTCGGGGAGAAAAAGTTAAAGCTACCTTTCTGAAAGCTGTTGAAAAACAGAAATGAGATATATTTTTCCCTGGAAGATAGACTGATGGATTGACCTTTACCTGGGAAACAAATAAGTGAATAATTACTTTGTGAAATATGTATATGGAAAGAATAAATCATACTGAAAACTTTGTCAGTGTGCATGGATATAAAAAAGCAGACATCTGTCAAAATAATAATCTTTCAAATGGTGCTTAATGTCTTTTCTCACATAGCTGAGCTTAAACTTCCATTTATTGCAGGAGTGAATTTGCTATAGTACAAAATGCACAAATGTTTCACTTGAAAGTAGCATAATACAAAACTAATGGTTTAGTTTTAAAATGTGGAGAAAATGCGCATTTATAGTTTTTTGAATGCTGCACCTCTGCACTCAGTGGCAAAATTCCCATTAATTACAGTAGTTATCAAACTACTCCTCCAATGAATAATTTGTGAGTAGCATGACTATTTTCTTGAAACTAGAACTTTATTCAGCTGCTGCAAGAAGTGTAACCAGGAACAAACTGAAGGAAACATGTAATTAGAAATACATTTATTGTTTTCTAAATCATTTGTGAACACTAAACCAATTTATTTCTTGTGAGAGATCTTTTTGAAGTTGCCATGAAAAACTGCTATCAACTAAGAATATAATTTGGAAAGTAAATTGGATGTAGGTGCTTGTAGCCAGAACCGTCTTCTGCAAGCTACAAGAGAAGCTACTGTACTCCTTACTAATTCAAAAAGTTTGCTGCCTATCTGTGAACAGTAACTTCTAATCAGAAGATGACATTTCTAAATGCCATTTTGAGAGTGTCCTTTAAAGTTTAATTAATTAACTCAAAGTCATTGGAATCATTGTTCATATTAATGAAATAGACATCTGTCGTACTCATTACAGTCAACATTTTAGCACTTTTAAATAGTGTTGGTTTTGGGTTGGGTTTTCTCCCCCCCTGTGAAAACCAACGTGTATTCTTTTTTGGCATAGTAGTTTTATTTCATGTGTGGTCTGAATTTTTTAGTGGTTGACTTCCAAGACAATGCAAATGCAAGTAAGAAAGAGTAGAGTCGAGCTTCTTTTCCACTTGTCTCCATCATGCCAAAGACATTAAAAATACTTGGGCTCCAAAAGGTGGGATTCAACCACTAGAATTAAACACCAAAGTCAGCTTAGCTTTTAAAGTGAAGGACCCAGCTGCTCCAGCATAAAATGTACAGATTGTTCTCCTCAGATTTGTCCTTACTGGGTTGATCTCAAATTTTCCATTTTTTAGTAGAACCCACTTTTGTAGTTTTTTTAGTATTTGAGGTCTTGTGATATTTCTTACTGTTATCTGTTTGCGTAACTGCCATGGGTTTTTCACCTAGACGTCACCTTAGTGCACTATGGCATGACCATGTGCAGCTGTTCTGAAACCAGGCTTCTTTTGCCCCTTGGTCCACTCAGGATTGGTTGTGTACAATGTGCAATCACTACATGAACAACTTAAGTGGGTTTTTTTGTTATGTGCCAGTTCATGGGGTTAAAGAGTTGCATGAGAATCTCGGTGCTCTGCTTGCAAAAATAAAGCTGAAATAATCACTGGCTCTGATAGTTTCAGAGAAAACCTCAAAAATATAAGCAAGGAAGACACAAAACTGAAAAGGACAACAATATACAAATATCAGGTTTTGTGGGTTTTGCTTGGGGTCTGACTCATGCTTTTTGTGTCTCAGAGGCTATTAACACTGACTGAATTTGCATTGGCATCTGCAGAGCAAGGATGGTTTAACTGTGAGGGCCAATGAACTCACAACTCCATGTTGGTACAATCTGCTTTTGATCACGGTTTTTGTGATCATAAAACTGTTGTGAGGAAAACAAATGTTGTTCCCATGCTAGTCAGGCATTGATTCTGCATGACTCAAACAAACACTACTCTATTTATTTTCTCTTGTAGTTACCTTCAAGCAACAGGGATGACTCAGATACCTGCTGACTACCTGTCAACCACCAGCTCCTACAACTATGAGCAGCCCCTTACCTCTGTGGCTCGGACAAGCACTGTCACCAAGGTACTCCCAGCCAAAAAAATAACCTTCTTCAAGAGTGGAGATCCTCAGTTTGCAGGAGTCAAGATGGCCATCAACCAGAGAAGCTTCAAGAGCTTCAATGCACTCATGGATGACCTCTCTCATCGGGTTCCACTGCCATTTGGGGTACGGACTATCACCACCCCACGAGGAATACATTGCATCAGTGAGCTGGACCAACTAGAGGATGGAGGATGCTACCTTTGCTCCGACAAGAAATATGTCAAGCCTATTAGCATTACTTCTGGGGGACACAGGCCAGGCCCTCCACGAAATGGTCGTCCCTCCAGTACCTTGAGAAGAGCAGCTCAGGAGGGCAAGCTTGAAGATTATTCTACACCTTTCACTCATCATGGCCCCAGAATACCAAAGAAAATCACACTAGTTAAGAACGGTGAAAGTAGTTTTCGTCGTTCAATCATCTTGAACCGCAGAAATGCCCGGAGTTTCAAAACACTTCTGGATGAGATTTCTGAGATCCTGCAGTTCCCAGTGAAGAAGCTCTACACTGTTGATGGGAAGAAGGCAAGTATCTCTGATAGCTGGTGCTGGTCAGTTATTCTAACAGGTATTATCACATCAGCATTTGTATTCCCTGTGATGCAAATCCTTTAGCTCATGGGGCCAGTGGTTTACCCACATTATCTTAATCCTTCGGGCTTGTGTAGTTAGTGTCACATGAGTTACTTCCCCATTAGTTACATGAAGGGCTGATGTAGAAGAATCTTGTTCAACCATTCAAAAACTTCATACATCAGATAATCTTTCGGGCCAATGGGAGGCAACTTCTGACAGAAGTCCAGAAGCCAAATATTTTGCAGCTGAGTATAAAACCCCAAATAAACTTCTAATAATGGAGCTTCCCACCCTCTCCTGGGGGGCATGGCCCAACAGAGGCTTTACTTTTCTATACTTAACAACTGGGAATTCAACAGAATAAGATGGCCCTTAGGTGGCACCTTGCAGTTGCATAATTCCTAACAGAATAGGGTCCTGCTCATGATGTGGGATCCTCAGCATTATGGTAATATAACCAATAAATGCATAAGTAATTAGGGCATGAGTGGCCTCAGGAGACACATCTGTATTGACGATTTGGTGAATATGCCAGTTGGAGTTGACTCTTACAATAAATTCAGGGCATGACAACTCCTTTGTTCTTCTGTTCCCAAACTAATTTTCTAACAAACCTGAGATTCTCCTTATTTCTTCTCCGTCTCTTTGTAATGCAGACTAACCTGTACTTCTATTTCTTCTGAAGAGTTTTCACATGTTAGCCTGACTTGTCCCCAGCAATGTAGCTGAGCAGAGTGGTTACCCTGTTCCTTGCCACTTTTTCCACCTTTACAGTACTGTGTGCCAGCTCCTCAGTGGTAATGTCACAGCCATTTGTGGTGGCACTTTCTGAACCAGATGACTGCAATGACTTGGGTTCAAATGACCCACTGTCCAGCAGGTGGAAAAAATGTGGAGGAATATATTTAGCCCAAATAATTTTGACCTAGAACAGGGACAGGAGTATGTAGCTATGAAGGATAGAGGGAGGGGGTAATTGTGCCTTGAGCCATCTTTTCTAGTGGAGGCAACATGTCATATCACAGTGCTTTCTGTTATGCCCACCACTCTGGAAAGAGCTTCCTGTTCTCAGCTGGAGGATCCAAGGAAAATGTCCTTGAACATCTTACTGCTTAGGCTTTCCCAGCCCTACTCATCTAGAGTCTAAAAGAGTGTCAAGCTGATTGCAGTCAGAGATGATATGAAACACCAGGGAAAGGATAGTGCCACTCCACATATGCGGGACAAATCAAACTGCAACCTTGCTGAGAAACTGAAGGTTTATGAAAAGGGATCCAGGAGCAAGAGAGAAAACCTAGCTGCGGACAACCCAAGCATGGCCTAGGAAAAGCAAATAGATAATTCATCTCCCCAAACTTTATGGCCTCAGAGTCAGTTGACTAAGTCCAACATGAGCAAGCAGGTTACCCTATTGAGGGATTTGTCTTTTCTAAGTGTGTCTAGAGTCTGTGTTTCTCCTAATGAGAGAGTGGAAAGAAATGGCTCACTTGCAGGCAACTGCATGGTAGGCAAGACAATTCCATGCCCTAGGCTGTTACGGCAGTAAACGGAAAGAAATAGGCACTTCAGACAGCTACTTTCCAAGTAACTGTCTAAATGACTGTGGATAAATAGAGCTGGATTAATTTCAGATTCAGCTACCTACATGTCAGTGTCTAAATGTTTCTGTAAGTGACCTAAGTGGCTAAGCTCCCATATAGCTGTTGAGACTAAAATGACAGTTCGATGAACTTGGAGCTGACCAAAGAAAGGTGTCTAGATGGCTTCAGAATCAGTTAGGTTTTTTGGGGTTTTTTTAGTTTCTATCAATTTATTTGCAAGTTTTCTATGCACCACAGCTACAACTATTCTACTAAATTAAAAAGTGTTTCAGCAG